GATGGAGAAGTTTGCAGACATCTCATTAGGAAATTAAACTGCTAGTCCTGGAAGCTGCTTAGATATGGTTGCTGACATGGGCTGAGAGGACAGAGCTTCAAAACCACTCAAGAGTTTGCTGATGAGGCCATTGGCTTGTGCGTGTCCCAAGCAGAGGGCAAAGTTTGTGCAGGACAATAATGACCACATTTGGGACTTGATGAATTTGTGGAGTGTGATATTGATGATGGTGGGTAGGCGGACAGCTGAGTCTGGAGTTAGTAGGGGAGGCCTGGTCTGTGGGTGTGGACTGGGAAGTAAAGGGCAACCAGACCTGTGGCATGGTAGGAACTCCTACCGGGAATATGGAGAGGCCTATTCCTCCTTCACAGAGCATGTGTTTGAGTCACTTCCTGTGGGCAGCAGAATATGTTCTTTGGATTATTTCTCTAGCTATGGAGTAGCACGAAGCCCTTAATGATTCAGGTCAAACTGAATACTCATAAATATCTTCCTCCAAGTCCCCTGCCCCAAGTTTCTGTGGAATGATAGAGATCCAGGAGCAGGTCATTATCCACAAACTGACCCAGATACAGTACACAGTGTTAGCTAGAGAGCAAATTTTGTTCTCCAAGAATCTGGAGAAAGCAAGAATTTCATTCTTAGTTTAATTTTTGGCTAAACTAGTATCAGCAGTGTAATTGTTAAATATAAGCTACTTAACTATACTATATTATAACCTATACTGTGTTTACTAAAATGGCTAACAGGTATATGGTGGCTTGAGTCCCCCCAAAGCATACCCTAGACAGGAACTCATGCAATTAATTTATTTGGGAAATGACCCCAGAAGCACAGTGGAAAAGAGAAGGAAGTTAATGTTAACAAGCAAGTAAGTTACCACCGTGGGCAGTTGGAGCTCAGCTCAACTGGGCAATCTGAAGAATACATAATTCAAAGGTTGTCTTCCCCAAAGCATCAGAAAACACAATATTTCCTCACGTACTTTCACCTTTTATTATTGGGCGAGCAGTGCTCCTGGGAACATTAGTTCCCAGGGTCAGACAGGTGCCCAAGGCTGAGAAAGCCCTGAGGTAGAGTGCCAATGCTAGCAGAAGCCTCCAGCAGGCCCTAAAAGAATGAGAGCAGAGAGAATCTGGGCAGGGCTCTGACATCCTCTGCTAGCTAGCAGAACAAAGCCTGGACACTGGGGGAATCTTCTGCAGTGTTAACACTACCTCCTTAGTATTGCAGACCTTTAACTGTCCCAGAAAAAACACAGAAGTAAACGAGATGACAGAGCTAACTCTACAGACTGGCTTAGGATGAGGTAGGGGGACCAAAATGTGACACATAGACCTTTTGACCCACTGCAAATTCCACCCCCCTGTCAAGCAACGATAGCCAAATCTGACTATGACTTGCTCATTATCGTCTAAGCATGACTGTGTTTGGATTCCTATGATGGAGAATTGTAGTCAGAATTTCTTGCCAAACATTAGTCAAATTGTTTTTAAAGGACTCAATCAATGATTAGCTTATGGTTTTTCAAGCCAACACAAATGCCTTTGTCAACTGACCCTGGCAAAACTTTTCCCCTGTAAAGTGTAAAATACAGTACTTAGTTGATTACAAAGCAGTGTTCAAACCCTTAGCTGTACATGAGTAAAGAATAGTTAAGTGTATATAATCCTCCATAATTTAAGAATGTAGCTGTTTCCATTCATAAAACTAAGTTTTTATATTGTTTTTCTTTTCTCTTCTACACACTGAGCTTTTGGAGAAAAAACTTTTGCCTTGTGCCAAAATGAAATCAGTAAATTTCCTTAGACTGTTGTTTGGCACAATTAAAAATGCTTAGTTTTTAGAATTATCTCTATCAATCAAGATAACTCATAAAGGTAAATTTTGCAATCGGTAATAATCAGCCAGCTGTTTCTCGTTTCAGCAAGATTGAATTTTAGCATCAGGGAAACACAGGAAGGTGGTGCTACCTCCTTTGTCTTGCCCCAAATTTTGCCTCAGTTTTACCAGAGGTTTTACACACCTTAGATTTTCCCTAAGATTTTTCATGCTATGGATTTTTAAAGTGCCCTGAAATGTCACACATTATTGGATTTTTTAAAGTGCAACTGCCCAGTTTAATAGAAGTGCATTTCACTCAGAGTTTTTAAATTTTAAGTCATTTATTTATTAAATATTTATTGAGTACCTACTAAGTGCCAGGTAATATGGGAAGCACTAAGGATATAAGAAACACAAGAGATCTTTTGCAAATTCCTCCCATTAGCTAAACAGTGCCTGCTTTTATTCACAGCACTTTTCCAAAGTGGCATGGCAGGGCTTTGGGGTTGCTCCAAGATTGATTTGAAAAGAAAGATAGAGTGGGAAAAAGAAAGAAAGAAAGAAGACAAAATGAGACAAAGACTCTGGCTTCTATTTCTTCATTTGAAAGTTTGGCTTGCAATTAGTCACTGTTTTATAAAGAATCCCTTGAAAACTTAGGGTTGCTTTTGGAGATTTTTTCTTAAAATTTTGAAAATGTAAATGCAATACCCTTCTGCTGAATGCAGAAAGGCATTTTTAGGATCACAAAATCATTCTTCACAGAAACAATAATCTACCTGTAGGAATGATTTGACTTCTCCGGAAAAAGTTTCCCCAAACTGCAAAGCCTAAGATGCAAAGAATATTACATGGACTCAACATGGAGACCAACACCATGTCTTCCTAGATAGCACCCTGCCTGAGACCCTTCTCTTAGAAGTCTTTACAGATTGGAGTACTTTGGGGAAAAGGCAGGTTGCAATGCTGGGCAAGTCATTTTTTTCTACTAGTGATTTTCTGCTCCGTGGGAATGAGATAGTTCACTGGAATCAGAATACTGGATAAAACTGGGCTCAACATTCACTGAATTATTGCCTTAACTATTTACTATCCTTGAACTTTATCATCATCCTCAAAGTCACCATTGTCCTCATTGATTGCCATTTGTGCTTAGCATTTTACAGGGTTCTTCTATTTTTCTTCACACATTCCAGTGAAGAAGGTGAGGCTGGGACTGTTAGGGATTAGCAGGGCTCATCTATAACTTGAACCTAGATCTGTTTGAAAGCAAAGTGAAGCCAAATCCTACTTCAAATAGCAACAATCAATAACAAGAGGCAAGTCAGGAAGGGATAAAAAATATTTGGGTTAGCATTTAATAACTCTGGAAAAACCATGAATTTGTGATTACATATAGAAATACAAGTTGAAGCATAGAAAATCTAATATTCATACTTATTTCTGGGCACTGGGAGGATGAGCATTTGTTGATTGCAAATACATACTCATTCATCTGTGCTGCATTTATTTATTTAGAGGGAGTACAGCTAATGATCCCACAATTGGAAGAATTTGGAGAGGGAGGGTATTGGCTGGGAGACTGTTTTTTATTCATTTTTAAGACCAGCATGTTCATGGGAGTGCACAGTACCCTGGCGTACTATTAGTAATGTTCCAATTTCTATTCATAGTTCGTTTAGCCTGATCTTGATTTGGGTGACCTAATAGTTGCTCTTAGTACTGTCCATGCAAAGAAACAAACACATAAATAAAGATTTTTCTGCATTAACATCTCCTAAATTAAAACTTCTTGAAATTTATACTGATAGGAATGGGAAAATTAAATTGTTACATATCGTATATTGAACAATGATATTTTCATAGAATTATTTCACAGGGGTTAGCAAAATTAAAAGATGTTTGCTATTTTAAAAAAACTCACTCCCTAATGACTTCCTAAGATAAAACTTTGTAAGTCCCATTAAGAAAAGTTCATATGGTCCAACATCTAAAATATACCAAACTCCTGAGTGGGAGAGGACTTTGTATTCCACATTCGCTTCTGTACTTCTAATATTTTGGGGGGGGAATGAAAAAGAAAAAAAGAAACTAACACCTTTTATAAGGAAGGGAATTTTAAGGAGGTTTATTTAAAACCATTTATTTAGAAGTTTCAGTGTTTTAGATATGTGACCTTATCTAAGATAGTAAATAATGTTTAGACATTGTGACATCAGAATGTCATATTTGCAAATTTTGTATATTTTTCAATTATCAATTAACTTTATTTCCTCTTACATGGCATTACCAGCAGCATATATTTTGTAAATAAAATATATCGTCGAACTATTTCTTAATTATACTATATTGTCCTGCATGAATATTTGGTATCTGTAACAGTCTTCTGGTAGTTTGAACCAGGTTCTAATAACAAATTGGGGTTTTTCAAATGGTGGCACAAATACACATTAAAATAAAACCCAAATACAGGCCAAGTCTAATGCAGTTACCAAATAATGAATGATAGAGGTCAAAGAAAACCATTGTTAGCATCAAGCAAATTTTGTATTTAAAAAGTATTCACTAAATAGATCTTTAAAAAAAAGAAAAAAAAAAACAAGAAAAATGACAGCTGCACACCATTGTTGCCACAGAAATTCTTTTTCCCTCTCTGGTCTTTTTGAGACATGGTTTGCATATGCATTTCAGGCTGGCCATGAACTCACTTTGTAGCCCAGGCTGGCCTTGAACTCACAGTGATCCTCCTGCCTCAGCCTCCCACATGCTGAGATGGCAGACCAGCACCTCTATGCCCAGCTTGTTTTTTGGTGCCAGGAATCAAACTCATGACCTCAACCTCACGTTTGCTAGGTGCTTGTGCCACTGAGCTAATCTACCACAGTCTTAGGACTGTCCCCAGTGCAGACCACCGCTGTTCTCGCTTGTGGACTCCCCTCTGCGTGCTGGCCAAGCTCCCCATTTTGTAGCCCCAAAAGAAATTTTTATCACAAAAGGACACAGAAAAGAAAATCACTTCCTCTTTCTGAGATTCTCTCCCTTTCCAATCGGCCTCCTCCTCTTATCAGAGTTGTGAAATTCAGTCAGGTAGCCAGAATTCTGTGTGTAACTGGGAACTGATAAAAGACGCACCCCCGCCTGGACCCCGCTTTACTTCTCCGCTCAGAAACCGTGAAAACCCAACCCCGCCTTTACTAGGTTTGTGCACAGGGTTTGTGCTCAGAGCAGGATCAGAGCAGGCTGGATGGGTGCGGGCTTGGCCAGACTGTCCGCCCTGGCCCAGCCGGTTCACCTCATTCATTCGTCCCCCGGTGGCCCTGGGTGTCTGCCGCGTGCCAGCCCTCTGCTGGGCGCGGGAAGGCAGAGATACACCCGGGCGCGCTTGGGGGACGCAGAGACCAAGCAGGACAGAGAAGAGCTTGCGTCGCGCGTTCTCCAAGGGTCCGATGCAAAAAGCTGAGAACCACGCGAGGTGAGCTCCAGCAACTGCCCGCGGAGTGAGATCCCAGCAGGGGATTTTCAGTCCACTTCTTTCCGGCTCTCGCAGTCCTCACTCTGTCCCCTCCACCCTGGCGACCCCCTGGCATCCGCCTGTCGTTCACTGGAATCTAGCTCTGCTGCCAGCTGTCCCGTAGACGCTAGCCCTGGACTCACCTCCCTCGGGAACCTTCCACGCAGCCCAGCCCGCTTTGCCCAGCCCAGGCCGGGTCCTGGCACGCGCTCGCCCCGGAGCGCACTGGAGCGCAGCTCGGGACACCCGGGAACCTGGAAGGGACCGGCGGCGTCTCGCCTCGCGGTGTCCCACGGGTGTGCAGAGGGAGCGTCCACGCCCCTCCTGTCCGATATATAAACTCTTGTCTCCCCGCCCCGGTCCGATCCCACCCCGCCCCGGCGGCCCCGGGCCCAGCGCGTCTCCAGGGAGAGGGGCGCAGCCTTAAGAGGGTGACAGAGTTGGAATGAGGGATCCTGGGGCTTGGGCTGTCTGCTAGGTGGTCTCCCATGCGGGACTCCAACCCTCAGCTGCCGACCCTTGAAGGAAACCGAGGGCTGGGAAACTGGGGCGCTCTCCCCTCCTGTGCGCCTGCAGAAGCTCAGGACGCTCCGACAGAGGTGCACCAAGGCGGCAACTCCACTCTCTCTGAGCTTCTTCCTGTGGTGACTTTGCTCTTGCCGCGCAGTCTTGCTAGAAAGTGTCTTTGGCGGTGGGAATTTCTGGCTTTTGCCGGGGAGGACGGGCATCAACAGGAGGTCGGGGTTAGAGGGAGAAGCAGGGAGGAGGCTACTCTAAAATCCTGAGTCCCAAGAAATTGTCCTCTACCCTGTCTATTCCCGGTCCACTCATTCATTCATTCATTCATTCACTCACTCATTTTATAAATAGTTGAGTGATTACCATGCACTATTATTAGGTGTCTGGGAAACAAAAACAACCAAACTGGGATCCTACTTTAAAGCATTAAAGGCCAGAAGAGTTTTAGCTCAAAATGAAATTTAGGCACAAAAACCAGGAAAACAGTGGTCTAAGCAAACGTGGTTGGGAAAGCAAAGGGAGTCCACAGTTCGCTGCGTTTTCAAATTTTGCTATTCGTTTTCAAATTTCACTATTTGTTGATATCCTAAGACTTTAAAGAAAGATAAACTTGTAAGTGGTAGAGCAGGGGGTCAACTTTGTAGACAGGTCAAAATGCAAGTTGTTTGCCATGAAATGGTGATTGCTCTGGAATGTGAGTTTACTGCATATCTCAGGCTAGTCACTGATTCCAGGTTTGGCCGAGTTCATAACAGTTCTCTCCTCAGTGGAGGGTAAATGGTAACACACTTTCCTGTGTACCTTGTTTGAGTGTCTTGGGTCATGAGGCTTCACAGTCTGGTTCTAGAGGTGGCAGAGCAGCACCAGGACAAGTTCCAGTTCCTTCAAAATGATGGCTTTGCACAAGAAGGCCAGGGAACATCAGAACAGCAAAAGAGCAACTATCAGTGTGCCTCAAGTTATCCTTGCTATTATCTAAAGTGTTTAAAATCACGTAATTCAAGTTACTGCATTCTCATACTGTATTGTTAGTTTTAAAAACTAGACTTCATAACTCAAGTATGCTTTCTGGTGTTTTTATTGAAAGTGATTCCTGGGTGTCAGCATTTCTAGGCAATCGCCAGCTCACTTAAAGCTATTTTTAAAAGTGTACTAGATGTACAAATAATGCCCCTCTATGATAGCCTCCAGACTGATAGAGGGCGCCTGGAAGCCTGTGAGTCATGGCCCACCCTGGAACAATGACCATGCCAGCCCAAGCAGGAAGGTTTGGGAACACTGCTTGAATCCCTTTGAGATGTACCAAAACATGCTAGCCAATGTCCTGGATCTTTTGATGTCCAAAGCAGTTTTCACAATTGGTTCAAGTTTAGACCAGTACCCAAAGAATCAGGCTATCTTCCTTTCATCTAACCTAGAGCAAAAGGAAGAAGAGAGGTTTTCAGGTTCTGTAACTCCCTGAAATGATCCCCAGTTTTTCTCATTGTGTAACACTTCACTTTTGGACCAGAGAAATGAAGAACAAATAGCCAGTGGTTTTTTTTCCCTCTTGCCATATAATGAAGCTTTTTGAAGAACATCTGTAATTTAAGAGAAAGTGTGGGTGTTATATATATTTGGATGGGTTTTTTGCAGCCCACGACAGTCTCATCAAACTGGTTGTTAATTATATCTGAGGACAAACTGGTTCATCATTGATAACATGAGCTCCAAGAACTCGTCCATTCATACTTGGAGACTTTGGGATAAAGCCAGCTACCATTACCCTGGGAAGATCCATATGGATTTGTGAAACATCTCTAGAATTCAACCCAGTTAGACCTTCACATTTTAGACGCCCACGCTACTGGGTGGCTTTCTATTTGGTCTTCCAAAGTCTAATCTTCTCCTTCACTCATCCTGCTCCATACAACTTCTACCAATTCATTCTTTTTTTCTGATAGATTCTTCTAAACCAAACATCTGAGAGCTTAATGATGTATAAGAGCTCCACTGCCTCAAGAGCAGAGCACTAACTCAAAACTCTTTCTCTCTCCCCATTCTTCCTCTTGCCCCATTTCCTGACATCCTGCCTCTCTCTCAGAGCTAATCATGATGCCAGTTCCCTAGTAATATCCATATTACTTGATCTCATAATGCTTTAGTATTTCTTTGCCCTTGTCTATTGTCTCTGCATTTACTTACTCACTTACTCAGCAAAATATATACAGATACTCCTCAATTTGTGATGGAGTTATGTTCCAATAAATACATCATTAGTTGAAAATATCACAAGTTGAAAATGCATTTAATACACCTCACCTCCCACATCATAATTTAGCAATACAGGATGCTGAAGATATTGATCCCCTAGTAACAGGAAGCTGCAGTTAACTACTGCTGCCTAACATGGTATCCTATCATGTATTGCTAGTCTAAGAAAAGATGCAAATTCAAATTTCAAAGTAATGAATGTATACAACTTTGTACCATTGTGAAGTCAAAAAATCAAAGTTGAATCATCAAAAGTTGGAGACTGTCTATATAATGAGAACTTACATTTCAGGGACTGCTAAGGGCAGAATCATTTTTATAATGGTAATCTTTCTAGATTTTAAAGATAAATTATATAATACATTTGACTGATGTCTTATTGGATTATTAGTATCCATTAACTTGTCAAACATGCATTAAACACCACCTATGCCATAGACACTCTATTTGACACAAGGGTGCAATCAGCCATAGCTTCTACCTTTGGATCCTCAGAGGTTGGTTGTGGAGAGGGATAAGTAAGCTGATTATTAATGTGACAAGGTTCTGCATAGACTGGACACCCTGGGAAGAACCCCACAAAGAAGCTGATGCTTTGCTAACACTGGGCCTGGAATTGGATGAGAAAAGTTGAGGAAGAAGAGGGACAATAAGGTGGAGTGAGATATTTGCATAAAAGCATGAGACTCAATGGTGGCTGGGATGAAGGGGCAGAGGGTGAAATGAGTTAGAGAAAAAGATGAGGAAGGTGATGGACGGGATGTGAGTGAATGGGTGAGTGAGTGGAGTGTAGGATAACTCAGGCTCCTGACTTACAACTATGTGGAGGATCATTTACCAAGATAGTGAATGTAGGAAGAAGAGAAGGTTTGGGGAGGAAGTGGAAGAAAAGTAATTCTATTTTGGATATTTGAGCCTTGTGTGTCATGGCACTACAGTCTGGACTTGCTGAGAGCAACCAACTGGATAGCACTCTGCACTTCTACCAGCTGCAAACTTCATGGGAAGGGCCCTGTGACACCCTCAAGCCATGCAGTGGAAGCTAAAAGAATGGAGTAAAGAGCAATCTAATTCATGAGAAGTACCCATAAGTCATGTGGATGAGAAGAGAACATTGGTGAGAAGATCCAACATGACCCAACAGAGCAGAAGTCACATTGGAGAGAATTGGGATGATCAACTAACAACCCAAGTAACTGCAAGCAGGGGAGAGACCTACACCCTGGGACAGTAAATCAATTTGAAAGAAGATACGTGTAGATCAAAATAAACATTTGGATAATAGTTAAAAAGAGACAGAACAGTCTGCCAGGGTTCCTACCCTCGCCCAGTCCAGTAACAGCCATCTTGAGAAATTCCCAAGTAGCTGGAGAGAACCAGAGTGCTACCGAAACTGCCTTGCAGGATGGACTTGGACTTGGACTTGGGCCTCTTCACTCCATCAGCCAAACACTGAGGAAGCTGCAGCCCTACAATATCCTTGCCAGTGTCCATCAAGGCAGGGGAAGCTCCATCCTCACTCACCCAACCTGAGGCAGTGAGAGGATAAATAAGTGAATGATGACTGCTCAGTTTACCCAGACAATTGTGCCTGCCACCATTTGGTACCCAACATCAGTACTGGACTCACTTAAGTCCCTATGAAGTGTCCCAAGAATGTCTGAGTCAATCCTGGGTACCTCAAGTTGATCCCATGCCTGCCAGCATCTCTGTCTGGCATACATCTAATACCAGAGCTGTTTAAGTCTGCGCCTGGCACCCCAACATTGCTTGAGTTTTAACCCAGTGCTCATTGCCCTGGGCCACTCCTGAACTCGGTGAAGACTCCATCTTGCATCCAGCACCAGTCCTCAGTAGCCTGAGCCTCAGTACCACATGAGTTCCTGGGCCTTCTGGAGTCCCCATTCAGTGCCAGGCACCCTTTCCTCTCCTTGGGGACATTGGAGTTGCCATCTCATACTTTGCCAAGTCCTAGGTGCATCTGGGTCTTGATTGGGTAGCCCAGAACTGTTGGAGTCTCCACTTGGCACATTAGTCCAGTCTCATGCCCACTAGAGCTGTTCCTGGCTTGCAGCACTGGCTAAAGTTCTGCCTAATCTGCTTGGTGCCCTGGGCTCACATGAGATCCCACCCAGCATCTGGTCCCTTCCCTGGATCTACTGAAATTTTACCACATCATTTCCAGCACACTTGGTTTCCCAGACTTACATAATTCTCCACCTGGTGTTTTGACCTGGTTCTGTGCCCACTGGAGTATCCATCTGGTACATAGTGGTGGTCCCCTATTGTAACCTTTTTTTCTGTCCTCCTCATGTTCCAAGATTACGATCTTTTGAAATGTTATTGGAATCCCAGTGAGTTAAATCCAATTTACCACCCCAGTGCAACTCCCAGCCAGAAAAAAAGATGCTAAGACATATATATATATATATATATATATTTATGGGCAGCCAAGGGATCCTAAGTCTGGTCCAGGTGAAGATTCACAGAACAAAAGGCCTTGATCCAGGGCTTCACCCAGAATTTATTGACTTGTGGAAAAGGAAGTGGCTCGAGGACGTGATGGTGAGAAATGGTGGGAATTACGTGAGTCCATGAGCTAGGCTCAGCTTAGATGCCAGAAAGCACCTCTGTAATGTGTAGACAGAAGAATATGCAGAAAGACCAATCTGCATAACTCAACTGGGATAGCAATTAAATGTTTAGGATACTGTTACTTCAGTTTCTGATGTGTAAACTTTTGTATCCTGTGAATTCATAGCCTCTCACTTTGAGGCTCAAACCCAGTTGACATTCCTGGAGCTATGTGGCTCTACCATCTTGTTGGGCTCAACAATTTATAGTGAGACACAATGTGAGGAAACAGGAAACTATCAGTTGGCTTCAAAGATTACATATCAGTACCTCAGTGAGCCCTATTTACATTGCTTAGAAGAAACTGAAGGGAGAAAGGAAAATAGCTTAGCCAGCTCTGTACATATCAGTACATGTAGACAGAGCTCAGTTTAACTACTGCTGAAACAATCATTCTGCATTCAAGGAGAGCTGTCCAAGTGATCTTCTATGGTCCCTAACCTACTGGAATCTACACCAGATGTCTCAGTCTGTGTGAGTCTTCACCCAGAGTCCAATATACCCCTCCTCCATCTTCCTTGGGACTGTGTCCACCTTGGACAGTAGCCACAGACAGCAGTTTACAGATTAGAAGCCCTTCACACAGAAGGCTCACCATCAAATACACAGGTTATAAAGAGGGGCAAAGAGGAATGTGACTTGTTCAATTAAAGAGTGCAGGCTCTATAGGAAAAACGTGCATCTGGAGATGCAAAGGGATTTTTTTTTAGTCCTCCCTTATTTTGATTCAGTTTTTCCCTTCTATTGGCATTTAAAATTTTTTTTTTTGGTGGAGTTTAGAGTTTTATCACCCATTTTATTTTTTATTTTAAAGAGAATAAAACCAAGCAAAACAAAACAGAGTAAAGCCAATCAAAACAAACCAGTGTAAGTGACACAGGACTTCAAAACAATATGAAATCAACAATGGTTACCATAATGCCTCCTGTTGTTTTCAAAATAGCTGCAGATACCTTCAGACATAGTAAAAATCAAACAGAACAGAACAGAATAGAACCAATAAAAACAAACCAATGAATACAATAAAGGATTTTAAAACAAGGCAATAGTAAATCCAAAATGGCTACCATAATGTATCTTGCTGTCTTTGAAATAACTGGCCATACCATAGGACATAACAAAATCAAATGAAACAAAAAAGAATAAAGCCTAACCTAACAAAACAATGAAAATGGTATAGGAATTCAAAACAAGAGGGAATTAATAGTGGATACTACCTTCAGAAGGAGACCCCCACAGATGTCACACTGTGTACCATTATCCTCTGAATAGCTAATCAGACTACTAGCCCTAGACCTGCAAAGTCAGTGAAACACCAAACACCATCAGCATCAAATTGCATTTCACCTCAGTAGCTCTCCTTCGAGCCTGTGTTTCTCCAGATCAGCTGGTCACATAACGGAGAGGGGAGGTTGGCTCTTCTTGTTTCCCAGCTTGGAAGGGGTTGGGGTCTGGCTGTCTCCCTGGCAATTACGGCCTGTGTATGGCACTGATTCACAGAGAGGGCTTGCTTCTTGGTGACTTCTTGTTCTCTTTCTCTGCAGTTTACTTATCATCCACTTTCTTCCCCTTTTCTCTCTCCTCACTTTTTGTTTGATTAAATCCTTCTTTTATCTGGCTTTTTTTTGCTTTCCATCAATGTTTCCTTATTATTAGTTTTCCTTTTTCTCTCTAGTGTAATCTCTATTTCTTATTATTTATCTTTTTCTTGTTGACTTTTCTGTTGTTATCAAATGCTACTTACTTTATTCTCCAATAGAATCTTCCATTTCCATTTTATCATCTTCTTCCCTCTTCTACTGCTTAATTGTTCAAATTCTATTTTTTCATGCTTTTATTCCCCTCAGCTTCTATCCTTGTAGTATAACCACTAACCTTCATGAATCTGCAGCTATTTATGACTAAGGATGAATACTATTCTACTGTCAATGGAAGTAAAATTCTGTTGAGTAAATATTTACTGTATATCAATATCTGGTTGGTCTTAAGAGTTTCAACTATAACTATAGATCTGATTTCTATGTATAAAGATGATACAGTGTTAGTTCTTAGGGTTTTTCAATGTTCAGTTTGTGTTTAATATTATTATTGTTGCTGATTTTACTACATAAAATCTACAATGACATAGTTGTTGCTATTAATTGATTTTCTTTGTAGAGATGTGCACACCAGCTGCCCTCAGGGACACTTCATGATGGTAAGCAGTGTGGGTCAGAGAAGCAGCAACCAGCCCCAGGAGAATCAAGAGCCAGCCCTGCTCCCACCTGCATGTGAGTCACCATCAGGGATGATTCTCATTAGTAACCAGAATAGGCCAGGAGAAGCAGTAGCCAATCCCACCCTCACACACACACTGTCCTCCATCAGGGAGCTTCCTTCAGGTATGCAGCTCGGACTGGGAAAAGCAGCAGCCAGCCCTGCACCAATACATCCCCTGGCCACCATCAGGTAGCAGTGGCCAGCACTGACCAGGAGAACCAGCCACTCAAGCCTTGGAGATATCAGCCAACATGAGAAGTGCCTTGGACTCCACATCCCACTTATCCAGAACACAGGAAAATGTTAAGATGAAGAAGCAAAAGGCAATCTCTGGCCTTCAACCCATGAAGAGCAAGTGCAGGAGATGCAAATATGGAAGAGACTGGAAGTGGCACGCCTGAAGTCTCTCTATGGCAGAGTACTCCACTGCATGTAAATACTACATTGTCTTTACCCCTTCATCTGTGGATGGGTATATGGGCTGTTTCCAAGATTTAGCTATTATGAATTGTGCTGCTATAAACATGGGCATACATATACATGCATATTTGCTGGGTTGAATGGAACCTTTAGTGTTAATTTTTAAAGAAATCTCCATATTGATTTCCATTGTACAAGTTTTCAGTCCCACCAAAAGTAGAGAAAGATTTCTTTTTCCCCTGCAGCCTCTCCGGTATTTGTTATTGTATGATTTCTCAATGGTATCCATTCTTTCTGGAATGAGATAGAACTGTAGTGTTGTTTTAATTTGTATTTCTCAAATGCTCAGGTGGTGCTTGGGGAAAGAGGACTGGGAGTTCCTTATTGAAAGGCAGACAAATTTACAATGTTAATGTAGTGAGAATGTGGCTTTGGGCAAAGTCTTCTGTGGCTAGTAGAAGGCCTGAGACATATATGAAGAGGTAAAGTTGTAACTTCAGTGGAGCCTGGCATTGAGGAGCTGCTCCTCTTTCCTAATGATAGCATGGCATTTTTTCCAGGGGCAAGAAAGCACCAGAGGACTCTGCTGGTGAGATAGACCAGAAGTAGGAAAGGGAAATGTCTACAGAACTGGAATTCTTGGTCTGTATTTCCAAAGTTGCCCTCTCTTTTCATCATTCAAAAGGAAATCTACAATGAAGGCCATACTTAACTGTCTTATGACAAACAGGAAACGGGGAGACTCAAAGACAACCTCGTATTGTGTCTCAGAGATTTGAAACTAACAATAAATCTAAGCTGATGAATTTGGAACTGTCATCACTGGAGACTGACTACTGTCCTTTTTCACACTCATTTTCAGACAGGGTGGGATCAAGTTCTTCTCCCGGGCTGGAAGGAGAGAGAGGCCAGTTGGGAGATAACTTGTGCTAAGGACTCCTCCAGTTAGTTTTTCAGTGGAGAACAGTACAAAGGCCACTGTCTTTACTCTTGTGTTCTATAGACAATTGATTTTGAAATTGCTCAGCCTTGAAATGGAGCAATTGATTTTCAAAGTCCACGTGCCAATTACTTACCCTGAGGATGCACTGAGCCATTCAAAGACAGATATCCTTTTTCAAACCCTAAGGGTTTTGAATCACCGTGAAGTAAGAATAAAGAAAGATATTTTTTCTCTGTTTAGACAAATAAATGTGAGGAAGCTATGGGCATGGGACCAAATTATTTTAATCCACTTGCACAATTTATGAGACGCCAGCTCATGTTAGAGGCCATATGGGCATAACAAGGATTCAGCAGACATTTTCTATATTTTCTTCTCAAGATTGAATGGCAAGTATTCCATATTTAAAGAAGTGGAAAAATAAGCGAAACCTATGATGAAGTAAAATTTTTCTTATCTTCTCTAAGAAGATCATTAGTTCTTATTGTCAAGCCAAATCCCAAGCTTCCAAGTTTGTCAAAGGAGAAGCAGTTCAATTTTGTGAATCTGACCACTGACCTCTGTGTTTATTTTGTTTGTGTGAATTTTCCCTTATCACTGCTGCTTTAATTCCTAGTAACTCACTGTGACCATTTGACCCAAAACACAACCACAATCAAGAAGTACAGAGCCCTAGAAGATTGCCCGAAGACTCAGGATATTAATTTAGAAATAACACCAGCAATGATTAGTTAACCCCATGCAATAGTTATCTTTTATACTTTAAGGAAATAGTCACAGCAACTCAAGGAGACTCTCCAAGTTTAGTTGCACAGCTACTAATTGTTGAAGCCAAGACTGAAACTCAGAAAATGAGCCAGGACGTGAATATGGGGTACTAACCAGCACCCAGTAAGAGGAGGAGCGTGATTAGACTGTATTTCCAGAGACAGCTGCAGCAGTGTCTCCCATGTCTCTGCCTCTGCAATTCACTTAAATGACATTTCAGTGCCTGTGTTCTAGGGATGAAGATGTATTGTTTGCCTCCCACTCTGACCCAAAGGGAGACCCTGAGGAAGGGGTTCATGTGCAAGTAGTTTACGTAGGAGGAAAACTTAAGAGAACCCTGTCGTTGGAGCAGGGACATGAGATAGGAAAGGGAAGGCAGCCAATGCATGCATAGAGGAAGGGAGTGTTAGCAACCGAGTTATCACTGCAGACAGCTGGAGCTGGGCCCCACTGGGAAAAGCTGGGAAGCAGTGCACAGCACATCCCAGCTGTTTATCTCCCCTTTTCCTCCATGCTGGTGGCTGACTGATGCTCCCAGAGGGGTGTACCCCCTGGTACCCTGGCTGCCTCTGGGAGCAGGCAGAGCAGGCCTCAGAAGCACAGGAAATCCATTTTGGACAGGGGAGGGGTAAAGAGAACCACTGATAACATCTGCTGGAGAGACGTTCAGTCTGTGCACTCGGGTCAGTGTGCAAGCTCTGAGGAGTATGCAACAGTGATAGCAAAGAAATTACAACACAATCAAGACTCAGATTGCCCAAATGAAACAGAATATAGAATCCTCTTGAGGTTTTATGCAGCCAGTTCCCGCAGTGGCCCCTGTTACTCTCTTCTTTGAGCCTTTGCTTTCCCCAAACCAGGCCCCCATATGGTTCCCACTGACCGTCTGTTCATCTGTTATTCACGGTGGAGGTAGGACTACATTTGCCTGTCTGCAAGAATATTACCTTAGCAACGTTTGCAGCCCTATTTGAGGAACATCAGCAGGGAAGCACCAGGCCTGTGTTGATCAAAGTGGCTGTATGATGTGCATGGGGCTTCCTGGGAATTATTAACCCTAATTGATGATGATTTTAGTTGAAAACGATTGAAAGACTGCATATAAAAATCTGGTTTAGAGAGTAATGTTTCCTTTATCTTCTAAAGAATTGTTTTCCTTGGATACATCTGAAATAACTCAGTATGTTGACTGAGTGCTCACCCAGATGACCAAATCTCTCTGATTATAAATAGCATAAAAGCTATGGGGAAATGTTTAAATGCATAATCTGAGCATCTCAATTGTATGTTCTTTTCACAAAGAAGTGGATTGATCTATCCCAGTGCCTTTTCCAAAATGTTCTTTTTTGGGGAATGTGTGACCTAAGCAGCAGACATGTATTGTAAGAAACTGACCCACGATTGCGGATACCAGCAATCTCTGGAGTAGATGTCTGCAGGGTTGGTGTCTTCTGAGCTCTCTCTCAGGTAGCTGCACTCTCCTGTGTGTCCCAGAGACTCCCCTCTGCACCTTTGGCCTAATTTCCTCTTCCATAAAGACACTAATCACATCGGATTAGGATTCACACAGATGACTCCATTTTAACTTAGTTACCTCATTTTATATTCCATGTTAAACAGGTTTGCTTTCCTTTTCAACTTTATTGAAGCATAGTTAATGAATAAATTTGTATCTATTTAAAGTGTCTGACCATGATTTGGTGTACATACGCCATGAGATGAAGCACACATTAATCACTTCACATAGCTATGTGTTTTGTTTGTGTGAGAACACTTACGGTCTATTCTCAGCAAATTTTAAGGATGTAACACACTGCTATGGATTATAGTAACCACCAGATCTTCAGAACCTACTTATCTTATAACTGAGTGTGTACATTGTGATCAACAGTTGGTTGCTCTGGCAATCACGTTCTACCATTTCTGAGTGTGATGTCCCTACCCACAGATTCCACATACAAGTAATACTGTATCATGCTGCCCCTTCTCTGGTTTACTTTGTTCAATGCACTGCAAACACCAGCAATTTTGTTTTATTTAGATGTCATGACATGAGGCTGAGGTTTTAGAGTTTATGAGAAAATCCATTGGTAAGATGCATGATCCTCTTTGAGGGCACATTTTATTTGAGGTTCTTTATCGCTTTCCAAGTATTTATAAGTTTAAGCTAAGGCAGATTGTATTTCTAAACAGTGAGCACAGATATTACATTTTCCAGGCTATAGTTTCACATTCATAATAATGACATTTCAGGATTCAGAGTTACACATAGAACAGCCAGGAGGTGTGATCACTCAGTCTGAAAGCTTGTCATCTGCTGTTATTTAAGGAGGCTGAGGACAGCCCTGTCACACATGATTTAGTAAGCACAATGAATTATATCAGAAAGCTATGGCTCCTACTCTGTTCACATCAACTCTGCAGTTATTTAAGAGACATGAAGAGGGAAATAACGAATTTGGAAGGAAGTTTGTTGTGCTAGGCACATAGTGAAAAGAGATCAGATAAATTTTATTGAAATATTATCACAGAGGAAGTCCTGCTCTAAACTTCTGTTCAGCCACAAGAGATGGTGTTAGTTCAGCTGCCTGAGTTAAAGTCCTATTTTACATACCTACAGGAGCAGAAATCTCCATTGTCAAAAAATGCACATTAAATCAGGATTTTCAGAAAGATATGATTCGTCATCAATGTTATAACCTAAGGCCCCCTAACTATTGCGCCGTAAGGTCTGTTCTGTATAAGCCCACCTGCTGCTTCCCCTCCCCTTCTCCCTTCACATCTAACTAGGTTAAGTTTTAACTTCCCAAAAGGCCACAAAACAAAGGCCTGAGGTAATAGCTCCTGAGCCCGTCACAAATTGTGTTAATTGCATTAGATTGTATTAGATTGTACTATTCTTCACAAAAATAGCTTCGTTATATTTGTATCATAGCAATACCTGTAACTTGGCCTTACTGTCTGTGTTTTCCTTTTCTCTTTGGATGACCTAATTGATATGTTAATCAATGCTCTCCTCTGTAAAGAATTGTAAAATCTTACCTAATTGATATGTTAACCATTGTTGCCCTCTACAAATAACAGTTGTGGTGCTGAAGTAGGGTAACTAAGGTTGTTAATTGCTGTTAGACTTCTCTATTCTTTGCTAAGAAAAACAAGATTTCTTCTTATCTAAACTTGCTAGTATGCAGGGAGACTTGCAATTGCCGTTTCTGCTTTGTAGTGCATCACACCCCCAGCCCCTTCCTTACATTGTGTGACCAGCAGCTGTTTGTGGATTTACAAGATAAAAGCACTGACTTTTAGCTGTGAGGGGCGCAGTCTCCAAATTGGCTCCTGGAGACTGTGTCACCAGGCCTGGAAATAAAGCCTTTGCTTCCCAAATTTTAATTTCTTGCTTCCTTGGATTTTATACCAGGGTCTGAGTTATCACAATCAACTTAAGAATAATTATATTCTTTTGGTGTAAGTTCTGAGTATTTTGATTTAAATTATAAATAGCAATCTCATGTTTGTAGCAGCTTTTAATACTCTAATAATAAATCAAGAAAGATAATAAACTGAAAACTTAAATGAACTTTATTTCAGCAGCAGCAGTAGCAGCAGCTGATATTATTCTGGTCTTCTTCCCGTGTCAATTATAGTTGAATAAATAGATGTAAACATCTCTGATTTCTATTTATTTCTGGAAAGCCTTTAAAAGGAGTGAGTTTTAGCATCACAAAGTTGTTCCCTCTTTGTATGCTTTTTCCATTCCATGGTCTTCTGTGTCTTTCTTGTTAATAAGCACTGGATACCGAATTTTCCTACTTCTTTCTCTAAAGCTTTGAAGAAGTTCAGCTATATTGTGATTCATCACATCCTTCTTTCTAGACTCATAGTGGAGAATTAAATTTGCACAGGCACGGGCATACTCCACACAGGGACTTAAGTTAGGGTTCTTCCAATTTGCTGAGTGCAGCTTCAGGGGGCAAAACCAGATTTTTTTCTGTACAGTAGTCCCAGGAGTGATGGGACAACATAATTATGACCATGTATGAAATCCTCATTTTCCTAAAGAATGAAATTCTCACTAAACGCATCCAAGATGTGAAGCTTTGTTTCTTATGATTTAAGCTTGGGGGTTGGTGGTCAGCAGTTTGCTAAGAGCAGTGCCTCAGAGCACTTTCTCTGTGCAGTTCATAATTTGCTGTGTAATTCCTCTCCAGCACACACCTCTACTCAATGTTGCAGCAGATTCCTCAAGTTAAATCTGACCTGGGGCCAGGTAGACGTGGAAACTCACGTTTCCTGCTGAAATTGTGAACATACATGACTTCTATGCTAGGAGTAATGGTAATAATCTAGGAATAAGTTCCACTCCTACAAAACAATTCTAAGAATGTTTCTTCTCTTCTCATAATGAGGGTTCTGGATAGTTTCTGCTGCTATTGTCACAAAGGGAACACTATGCAAAAGTGGAAGAATCCACAGTTCCCACTCTAAGGACTGTGAAAGGAGCCTGTGAATGGGCATTTGGAAATACATACTATGTATCATTTCTGTTTTTCTACGACTGAACTTTTTCTATATTTATGCTCACACTCATGGATGAAAAACTTTAAAACTTCCCAATTATCTAACCAACTTCCTCTTTCTACCTATAGCAATGGAGATCCAATACGGGCAAACAAAGTCTCCTGCTAGTCTGCGACAGAGCCAAGAATCAAACTTTATCCTCTGACCTCTCCTTTGTGCTTGCCTTGTAAGCTGCCATGCTTTGACATACATAACCCAAACCTGTCCCTTTACCATCCAGGAAATAGCCTTGTAAGTTACCAGTGATAAATATTTTATTGGGAACTTACTTAATTTCCCATAATCAAATTTACACCTTAGAAAGATGTAGAGTTAGCTATGTATTTTAAAATTTTGCTGATGTTTAATTTAAACAATCATATCCGAAATATTATTTCAAGATGAAATAATCTAAATTAAAATATTTTGCATTCATATATTTGAAATTTTTAAAATCTGTGCTGGGGATCTAGCTCCTTGGCATAAGCACCTGCCTGGCAAGGGCAAAGTCATGAGTTTGATCCCCAGTAACAACAACAACAACAGCAACAAAAATCTGCTTTATGTTTTATTATACATTTTTTAAAAATTTTAATTGATTGTAAATATCTTAAAAATATTCATCAAAAGTTCTGGTGTCATATTGCAAAGTGGTATGATATTGCACTGTATATAATATATACTTTGTATCTCCAAACACTAGAAGAAAAGATGTTGAATGTTTCCGCCATGAAAAAATGACCAATGTTTAAGGAGCTAGATATATTTAACCTAAATTAGACATTACACAGAGATACACATGTCAAAACATCATGTGGTGCCTGTCTTAGTGACTTTTCTTGTTGCTGATACAAAACACCCTACACTGAAAGTTAAAGGGATAAAGGTTTATTTACCTCACACTTTGTGGAGGTTATAGTCCATAATTGGCTGGCTCCAAGGCAGGGGGGCATGTGGCAAAGGGACAACAGTTCATGGTGGTGGAAGACAGCAAAAGCAATGAGGGACCTTAGCAGCATCTTTCTACCCCTTTTATAATCTATATAAACTACTGGGATTAGGGCAGTGTTAAGCCAATCAGTGAACTGATTTAATAATCACACACATCTTTAATTCCAGCATTGCATCACTAATCAATAACATACTATGAAAGAGTTTCACCTATCACCATATGAGGCCTTGGGAGGACACCCAAACACAAGGCATAACAGTGCCTCATTAACTATAACCCTCCTCCCCCCCAATTACAACCAGGTTCTAGTTCCTCATACTTTAAGAAATAAGCTATTGTAGGAGGTAATACACAGGGTGTTCTGTTTTTCCAGCAGAAACAATACACAGCGTGTTCTGTTCTTCCAACATAAATGATCAGCTGTTATTCCTTTGTTATCCACAGAAGAATAAAATGCTTTGATAAACGAGTGACTCTGACAGCTGGCTGCTTCACCAAAGGTCTGTGCTCCACCACCCATGTGTGTGAAGGGGAGTTATTGGGGAGCCAGAGACTGCAGTTTCCAGACTCCTTCCCATCTGTGAGCAGCCAAGTGACTGGTTTGGGCCAATAGAGATAGAAGTAAAGGTGAGGCTTTATTTCCAGGCTCAAGAGCTTAAGAAGCAAGTTTTATTTTCCTACCTCCTAACTCACTTTCCCCCATAGCGTAGCTGCACACCTAGGGGAAGGGCAGCCACAGAAGACAGAGGAACCACGCACCTTCCTAATGCCTCTGAGTCAGGGGACAGAGCCTGCTTGCTAACCACTGGGCTACAGATGTGAAAGACACTACTAATAAGCTAGTCTCTTAGCCATTTCCACACAACAAACCATTTCAAAGCTTAGAGGCACCAAATGGCAATCATTCATTTTATCATAAAACTTTAATGTGTGCAAGGACAATTGTTCTCACCTCCTCCCATCACCTGGGGCACAGATGCTAGAGTCTGCAGGGCTTTCTGTTTTAAATTGTCTTCATTAGTATATGTTTGTGATACACTGTGACTAAGCTCAGTTTGGGTTACTGAGGCGAGCACTTACCACATTTTTTTTACTGTTCTGCCCTCCTCCCACCCAGCCCTCCTCTCTACCATCTCTAGAATCTACCCCCACTACTTCTTAATTGTACTCTTTAAATAATTTATATTTTGGGTGTCTCATGTTAGCAAACCCATGGGATATTTAACCTTCTGTGACAGATATTTCACTTAGCATTATGGTCTCAAGTCCCATCCATTCTCCTACAAACAACTCAGTGTATCCTTTTTGTGGATTCGACACAACACCCATGTTTATAGCAGCACAAATCATAACAGCTAAATTGTGGGAGCAGCTTATGTACCCACCGATGATAAAAGATTTTTAAAATGAGGAGCTATTTTCAAGATAGACATTCACATTGCTGGCAAAAACATGCAGGGTGACAGCCAGAACTTGGCAGGACCAAGGGCTGGAGGCCCTAGTTCCTCTCCATCCCCACTTCATTATGGGCTGCCAGTAGCTGAATGCAAGAAAAAACATCACAAGCAACAGAAAGAAACTGACCCTTTAAAGTTTGGGTTCAGAAACCTGCAGCAAGGCTCTTGAGAAGCCAAAGGGAGGATGGCAGAGGAGGAACAAATGAAGAAAACAGTCACAACTTGGAAAGCTGAGGTCAGCTAGAGCCCCCTCTCCTGCTAAGAGAAAGGATCACCCAACAACCGCAGCCCAGTTCCTTCAGGTCAGCAGAGGAGGTTTACAGAGAAGGCCAAGGAAAGGGCGAGATCCTGACACAGTTTCAACTCCATCATAATTTATTGATCAAGTCACCAAGATTGAGTGATGAGGCTCGGATGTCACTCTTCAGGTGAAAGAATGCTGAAAGCTTGGGAGGGGACACATTTCAAAATCATTCCTTAGACCCCTAAGTTTTTGAGATTTAGAAGTTAACAGCAGCTGATACCACAGTTGCAACTTCTACAATGACAAAAGAGAAAAATGGTCAGGTATGTACACTCTTCTAACTTTAAAAAATTTTTTATTTAAATTATATTTAAATGTATGTACAGGTAACATTCATTTTAGGGGGTTGGTACATGTACACAACACATTTTAATTCTCTTTATTTCCTTCTTCTCTCCCTTCTCATGTCTATCTCTTGTTTCCCTTTTCATTTCTAAAAATTGATCTCCCCATTTCTTATTATCTATCTTTCACTTTACTCTTTAAAAATTGCTTATACTTTGGGTACAGTTTTAAGATGTTCTAATTACGCAACAACAACCAACAACAAAACTTGCAAGTTGCGGGGTTGGAGGTGCAGATTTGACTTCTGCCAATTAAACAAAGAAGTCCTAAGAGATCTTCTGGAAAATCTTACTGAGTTCAACTTTAAAATATGTTTGCAGATCTTGTATAAAGCAGCAGAACAGTGATGAACACTGCAGGAGAAAATGGCAAAGCAGATTTGCAGTGGGAGACCCGGAGGCCAGTACAGAAAGATGGGTGAACAAGGGGCTATTTGTAACATTGGTTCCCCCAAATTAATTTCCTTTTCCTAACGACGCTCTGATTTCTCTAGAGAAATCATTACTTCCTCCTTGCCTAAGAATCAGGGATTGTAATCAGGGCACCTCCTACATTTAGTCTAAGGCAGACAGATGGGATAAGCTAAGATAACTGGAACTCCAATCTTAAAGAGAAATACAGGAAGACCAGAACTGCATAGCAGAGAGTGGTGGCCCATGCCTGTAATCCACTCATACAATGAAATAACAGGATTCAGCCAAGCTATTAAAGTACAAGTGTATACCTATTAAACTCCTATACTTATTTGGGTTTGTTATTGAAATTTTTAATTATT